CCACACCATGTCACCTGACACCCGAGCTCCCAGCACTGCATCAAGGTAACACTTTAAACGTGTGCCTGAAATGATCAGTAAATTAGCATTTCATTGAACTAGCAGTGAAGGGATTTTTCTCGAGCATCACTCATTTATGTTTACTCTTTTATAACTTGTAAATTTATATTGTGTGCTTAATTGACTTCAGGATTAAGTGTTCTCTACAGATTTTGGCTTTTCTACATATATTGATTTTCATATATATGTATATATATTATATATATGCGCATACACTTTTTTTCCCCTTTAAACATTTTTTTTAAAAAGCTCTTTGTAAAAAGATATCAAAATACAAAACTAAGGAATGTCTGTTCCCTATAAAGACAGTTTAGGTCATTCAGCTCAGACTGACCTAAAGGCAGTTTAGGGCATTCATTCAATTAAAAACCAACTAAATTTGACTGAGGAAATACCTATTTTTAAAATTTTAAACCCTAGTAAGAAATAGCTAGAAACTCGTAAAATTAACCAGAGGAAAGCTTAGACGCTATGCCTGCAATTTGACAGATGCTTTGGGTCGAGGAAAAAGACACAGCCCTCGGTCCACCCAAGGTAGGAATCTTAAGAGCTATTTTTAATGTAAGAGTATATAAAGGTGAACTTCCACCCTTTGGGGGCTGCAAGAAAAGCTGGCCTAGAGCTGACCTAATCAGAGGAGCCAAAGAGGTGGGGGAAGAATCCTAGGCAAGCTATACATGATGGTTAACCACAGGGTGAACTTGTAGCCTAATTTTGTTGGAGCAATGGGTGCGTTGCGGATAGGGTCTATAGATTAGATGGATGGTGTTGGCCACGAACACTGAAGTCCTGCGCACTGCCAGAAGAACAAGTAAATCCGTGCTGGGAGAAGTGCAGCCAGAGGCTCCCTAAAAGCTGTGCTCAAGACTTCATCTGTGTGCTTTGCGCATCCTGGAAAAGGACACACACTACTAAAGCAGAGTCAGTGGACAGAAGGAAGCCGCTCAATGAGCTGGACTGACAGTGCCTGTAACGACGGCTCAAGCAAGGACAACTGGGAGGATGGCACAGGACCGGGTGGTGTTTCTGTTGTACAGAGTCCCTGTGAGTCCGAACAGACTCAACGGCACTTAACAGCAACAACATTATTCTACTAATGTTGAATGTCCTTATTGTAGCATTTGTACTATGACTATGTAAGTGAATGCCTTATTTAAAATATAATCAAACATAAGTGCTCGATAATAAAATATCTATCTATACAAGGGAGCTTCACAAAGTTTGAAGAAAAACATAATTGAGAGACTGGAATTTTCCCATAAACTTTTCAAAGTTCTGTAGCATACATACATACATACATGAGAAAAAGAATATGATTAGCAAATGTGTGATTTTAAATAAAAGCTATACAAACCAGTCACCAGAAAATGTTCACTAAACGGAAATTCTAAATGAAGTACTTCTATAAGAAAGTGATCTCAGATGTGAAAATTTATCTCAGATGTGAGGATATGAAGTCAGAAATACAGAAGTTAACAAATTCAACAACAACAAAAATCAAAGCAGTAAATAAATACGTGGGTGAATCTAAATAAATACCAAATAGGTTTCCGAGGCTGCCGCTTAGGTTCTGAACGCCGCCTCAGAAGTGGGAGCTGTCATACCCCCTTGTCTTGCCATTGCTATCAATAAAGACTTCGAGCCATAAAAAATTAATTAATTAATTAATTAATACAAAATAAAAGCTATTTTAAATGTAAATGTAATCCTTTTAGAAGGGACAAAAAAGATCCTTGTATTATTTGAGTGAAGTAGAAAGACCTAACATGCATCCGCATTACAATTTCTAAGATCGCTACTAAAGCACTAAAAGTAAGTGTCTGCCTTTTAGAGCAGTGAATAGAGAAATAATGAATGAATGATTAACACTGGCACCAACCCCACCCCCAAAATAAATCTAACACGAAGTAGAAAACACTGGGCAAAAGATACCATAAGTCTTTGTGTATAACCAACAAGAGCTAAGGATATGAAAACGACAGAGATTCATGCAAGCAGTTTTACAAGGATCGACGTGCACACTGCAAAGCCTGCCCTGGACGCCATCTGAAGAAGTCACGGGGGGAGGATGGTGGACAGCCTTACTGCCGTAGTTCAGATACCCAATCAGGGCTAGCTCTAGGAGGGCTAGGGTGGACTCTCTGCCACCACCAAGACCCCCACCAGCCAAGTAAAGTTCGAGCCCTCCACCATGTAGACATGGCCCCGCATGAACGCACAGTCTAACACAAGTCACCATGGGGCGAGAAGCCTCTCCTGGGAGAGCTAACTTTAGGCATCTGGAGAATTACATTTGGTTTGGGAACCTATTTCTGCCACAGAAGAACTATGAAAATCTCTTGCAAACTACTTAACCCCGAGCCTCATTTCTTCAAGGGCAATAATGTCATTTGAATACAGGGCTGTCTGGAGGTTAACTGAGTTATTTATAAGGGGCCAGCATAGGGCAGTTTGAAACCGTCGGATGCTCCACAGGAGAAAGACGGGCTTTCTACTTCCTCAAAGATTGCCAACGTCAGTAACTCCAGAGGCAGCGCCAGCCCGCCGATGAGTCAGAAACGCAATGGCAGGTTTGGAAACACAGTGCCAAGCCAATCCACAGTGAGCACATAGATGATAGTAAGTGTCTATCGATTATTACTTGAAATATGTTTCTCCAGGTGACTTTTAAATCAAACCATGATCAAGATAGTAAGTGACAGAACACAGCACAAACAACTAGCTCAAACCTGAAGGTGTGAGCTCAACACAAAAATTTACTTTTGAAAAGCTTTATATTCTAGCCTTGATTTCTTTCATAATATGGAACACTTATCTCACTACAAAAGACAGTGTAGTAGAGACACTATCATTGTTTTCCTTTATCTGTAAGCGTGCCGATTTCCCTTAGTCTCTGGGCATGGCAGACCATGCCACACTCAAGTAGCGCAAACAACAGTAGGATGCAATTTAAGCATCTTTCTCTACGTAACTAACAGGTCTATTTTTTCACAAACTCAAGATGATCACAAAAAGTATCATGTAACCTACATTTCGCCCTGGGATATGAACATGCTGGGGAAGAATCACACGAGCGGGAAGCCCTTCCCTCAATACTCATTACAAAGAGAAAAGAACGCCCTCTTTCTTAAGCAGGAGGCTCTATGACCCTACGTGAGGGCACACGGGGAACATGCTGGAACGGTCATCTGCAGAGAGTCATCTGTGTATTTCAAAAGGATGGCTACTGTGAGACCAGGAGTGCCTGAGTGCTTAATACTAACCAAAACGTTAATGGCTTAACCCTGCCCCAAAGTGCCTTGGAACAAAGGCTCAGCAATCTACTTCCAAAAAAGTCCCAACCACAAAGCCCCGGAGCAGTTCTTCCAAGAAATGCACAGAATCACCTCAGTAGCAAAGGCCAAACAATATCTTGGCTCTTCCGCTTTGCAGGCAATTCAGATTAACATACAAGATTCTAAAACATCTATCTATGGATACTAAGGAACTTACCAAGATTAATCCAAATTCCACCTGGCTTGAGTATTTTCCATATTGTATCAATATAATCAATTACATTGTGAGCTGTATCTATGAAGAAACAGGTAGCAATACAATCCCAGGTATCTATTCAAGAAAAATTGAATAACAAATATTATTTTGTCTTTCCTTTCAATTAACTCTAACTTTACCAAGTATCCTTTTCAGAGTACTAATATTTCACTCAACTGTAAGGATAAAGAAACTAAAATCTTACGGACAATATAATCGAGGTGACAAAATAATCATACATCAAAGATACTTTATAAATCAAAAGATTTATCAGTAATAACCGGATAACCAATTGGAACTCATTTTGATAGCGTATTTCTAGCTTTCTTTAAAATCAGTTAAGATGGGATGACCATTAAATTTCAAATTATGATTTGTAACCTAACTGCCAACGCTGGCAGGTTTCCGAAAGAACTGAATTCTGAAAGAGCAAAATTCTGGCTGCTCAGTGAGGAACCAACAGGGCCAGGGCAGTGAGGAACACTGGATCGCGACCCTGCAGCAATACTGCATTCACTCCTTGGAGGCTGGGGCCTGAAACAGTCATAGAAAACGCAATCTACTTGACACCTGTATAAACTGATGCAATAATGGCACTTAACTGAGAATCACCTTCAATGCCTCTCAAGCCTTGTGCAGAAGGTCATTTATACCTGCTTAAATGCTATTCTACATTATTTCGTCTCTATTTCGAGACTTTGCTTCCTAACTATCCCCACCACTCAGCTTTCCAACTTTTCCTTTCTATCTTTAGGGTAGGAGTTTTCTCAATCCCAGAGTTTGGGAAAAATATGAACTTTAATGCCTTCCCTGCTCCAGTTCTTCCAATGGGTTTCTCTCTCTTTCAAAGTAAACTTCCAAGTCTGCATGCAAGCCCACCTTCCCAGACACCCGCCTCCCCCCATCTCTGCCAATGTGCCCTCACTTCCTACACACCAGCCAAACTGACCCGCTTATCAATTCTTCCTTGAACCAAACAAGCATATTGTCCACAACAAAGATTCTCTACCTTTGCCATTTTCTTGTTTAGGAACGTTTTGCCCAAAATACTGGAATAATCTGCCTCTACATTTTCACTTTTGAGGTCCTCTGGGATTTCTTGCTTTTAATTTCTGCTCCTAGGAACTAGGCCTCCCCTGACAACTCTAGTCTCTCTCCAAACCGAAAAAGAGCCGGAACCTACTGCAGTCAAGTTGATTCCGACTGCTACGTCCCCATAGGACAGAGGAGACGAGCAACTCCTCATGCTTTCCAAGACCGCAACGCTTTATGGGTGCAAAGTCTCATCTTTCTCCCACGGAGCAGCTGGTGGGTTTGGTGAGCAGCCCAACATGCAAACCATTATGCCACTGGGGTTCCTCAGTCCCTCCTCACTTCATGTCACTTTTACCCGTTTTCTTTCTCAGAGTGTTGTTTGTTATTGCTTCCATCTTCCTATGATAAGCTCTGCTGGGGCTGTTGGCCTTGGCTTGCTAACCACGATGCCAACAGTTCGAACCTACTAGCCACTCGGCAGGAGAAATGAGGCTATCTGCTCCCATAAAAATTGACATTCTCAGAAACCATACAGCAGTGGTTCTCTACCTTCCTAATGTACCTCCCTTTAGTACCATGACCCCCAAACATCACATGATTTTC